CGAGGAGGGCTGCTCACACCACATCCCAGGATTCATCTCTAAGCAGAAATGCACCAGGATGGCCCAGCATTACTCATTCTCTTTTGAAATCAAAACCCCAAAGCACCCACTAGCTCAGCCTCCGTAACTTACCAACACTTGGTGAAATACGAACAAACTGATGTCGGTTGAAAACATAGGCATCCTAGCAGCCCAGGGGGCGATGGGAGAGTGGGATCGCACAGTGAGTGAAAACAAAGGCACATCTACGGTTTCCGGCCGGGAAGCACAGGATGCATTGCTGTGCTAACTACTGCGGGCAGAAGTCTAGGGGCACCCATGGGTCTCTGGAATGTCGGTCCAGCACTCTTGCAGCCACTGCAGGAGTGCGGTCCTCCCGCCTGACTGTCCCCATCCTTCAGTGGGTGAAGGGCAGTGTCTGTGTCTGCTGGGCTCTCCCACTGAGATCATGTGACCGAAATGGCCTTGGCTTTGAAGTCAGACCCATTGGTCCCTGCCAGCCTGGCCTCTTCCTGCTGCGGACACTGGCAATGTCCTTGCCGCTCTGAGGAATGGTGGTGATAGTTCCCATGTGAGGCCCTGGGAGAGGTCTGAGCTGGAGGGTTAGACCCGCAGGCTCCCGCAGGCCACCGTGGCTGCTGGTGGGAGACATAGCATCCTCCGTTCTCTCCTTGGGAGTTGTCCTCAGAGGAGTCCATACAGCCGGCCCGGGGCCAGGACCCGTTCTCTTTGGCCCTCCAGGAGGCGGTGCAGGATGAAGCGTGAGGCTCACACTGGCAGGTATGGGGGTTTCCCTGCATAGAAATCCAGAGTCCCTATTAGGAACCAGTATTTCTTGTCACAGTCCCAGCCATGGCTTCCCGGCTCCCTGCTAGGCACAGTCCTGGCTGCTAGGACCCCAGTGTTCAGGAAGCCTCAGAGCTGTGCTGCGCCCCAGTGCCCTCACCCCTCATCCACAGCCCTGTGCACAGGTCAGGCACATCTGCCAGGGCTTTGGATGTTGTTGTCTAGTAACACGTATGTGGTTTCCAGGGCAGCAGAGTTACAAAGTCTGGGGAACCCAAGGTCACTTCCTCAGGTAGAAAGGAGAAGTGCGGCTCCACACTTTAGCATAGCCCTCCCCACGGGTCAGCTAGGAGGTTCAGCGGAGAGCCAGCCCCGAATGTTCCTGGCACAGAGAAGTCCACGGTGCAAACACAGGTTTCCACTTCTCTCTCTTAACCTCAATCCTCTGTAGGCCAAAGGCGACCAGGGAGGAGCTGGGGCAGAGAAGTCAAGGGGTCAGACTGCGTTCTGTCACCGCCACTCTGGCCGCCTCCTGCGGGCTGAGGAGCCAAGGCCGGGACTGAGGCCGGGAGACCAGTTATGCAGGGACAAGCCGGGCTGATTTGTCCAGGACGGCGGGGGGTTCTGGGAACACAGGACTTTCTGTTTTAAAATGGAGGAGGTTCTGGGCAAACTGGGAGGTCATTACCCCACGGGTGTGAGGCTTTTCTCACCGAACCCCACTTCCCTTCCGGGTCTGCAACTGGCTGCAGGTGTTTTGGCTGAAGCGCAGTGCCTGTGCCGAGTAACTTAGGTGAAATGGGCTTTGTATTTCACACGGATGCCCTGAGAGCCAGCTCACGCTCAAGGGTGTGAAATCCTACACAGCCTGCCCCCAGTTCGGTGCTGGGCCCTGAGGGGAGGGGAGGAATACAAACGTGTGGGTGGGCGGGCGTCTCCCCCAGTCAGGGGCAAGGCTCACCCTGGCTGGTTGCATGCCCCGCTTTAGCTCCGGCTTCCCCATTCTTCCCAAGCAAATTCAACATCTGCTCCCATCTGCTGCTCCTTTATCCGCCGGGAGCATCCAGGACTGTGGCCCCCATGTCTTCCTCGCCGGCTGTAACCCCTCTGTAACCAGTAGCAATCCTGCCTGACACCCCCAGGACAAACAGTGGCCAGTTTGATCTTTGGTTATTTTCTCACATTTAAACAGGGTTTGCCAGGGCTCTGCCAAATTGGGTGGGAAATGGCAAACATGCTGTTGTGGGGTCCTCTTCCCTCCCGCCCCGCCTGGTTGTCTGGACTCCTAGGGCCTTCTGTAGGGACTCTTGGGGCCTTCTGTAGGGCCCTTCTCTACACCCCAGATTCCGGCTCTGAAGTAGGGTGGAGTCCAGGTCTTCACACGGCCAGACCTCCTTATTTCCCTCCCAGCTTCCCCCCAACTCTCAGGGGCTGTTGTTCCAGTAGAAACAAGGACTCTTGATTTCTTCCATAGCCTGTGTTCTCCCTGTTACCACCCTCAGTCTCAGGGAACCTCCCCAAGGATCCCAAGGGGTCAGAACCCCATCCTTACATCTGCACATCAATCTGTCCCCTTCTCCTGCCCAGGCCCTGTCACTTCTGAGGGGCCTGCAGGCTCAGATCTCCACTCCAGGCTACCACAGAGGTTGGTAAACCATAGGCAGGCCACGATTTTCTCTGTTCGACTTTCTTCTTCCCCCAAGAGCCTCCGTCACTTACCTAAAAAACCTGAGAACACTTCCCTGGAGAGTCCCCGCCTGCTTCACTGTCCTTAGGCGAGAAGGAAGGACGTGCCCTCCCTCAGGGCTGCTCCCAAGGAAGGGCTGGAACACCTTCTCCTCCTTGGTGGGCCTGGGGTAATTTTTCAGTCTCTTGCTGCTGCCTTCAGCTGTCACTCAATCCTCCTGCTCTGCATTGGCTCCTCCTGGCTGATGTTTCTCGGGGCTCATGGTGCAGTGCAGATACAGGACCGACCACCACCCCCCGCCACCTCCCCAGAGCTCAGTTAGTCATCGCCACAGCGGGGAGCGGGGACTGCTGTCAGTTTCATCTTGCAGGGGGCCAAATCACTTGCCTAGGATCATGTGGCAAGCAGGCTTGAAAGTTGGACACGGCTGGACAGTGTTGCGTCTGGCCCCCACCCAGCAGACAGCATGCTGTATTTAGTGTGTGCCGGGTGCTCTGCTGAGGGCTTTGCAGGGATTGACTTATTTATTCCTCAACAGCTCTTCACTTAGGCATGATTTTTACCCTCCTTTTTTCTTTGAGAAGTTAAGTAATTTGTCCAAAATCACATCTGAGAAGCGATGGAGACAGGCCTGGAACCTAGGCAGCCTGGTCCCAGCACCTGGGATCTGAGTGGCTCTACTGCACCCCCGCCCCCCGCCTCTGACGGCCCCAGGTCCACTGAAACCCCTTGTGGCCACCAAGACATTGGCCACTGTTGGGAAAATATGATTAAAGACAAAAGCTTCTCCCGGCGCAGAAAACCTCATCACAAAGAAAAGAAAAGAAAAAAAGGTTTTATTATTGAATAAGCATTAAACCAAGATATGAGATGCATTACAGGCAACCCACTGAGAGATTGCAAAGACAGAAAGAAGTTTCAACCTTTTGTATAGCCAGGCAGGCACAACGCGTGCACACATTCTCTCACCCTCATCCCTACGGAAAAGGACTTGATAGTGTCATTGCTTCACATGGTTCATCCTAAACTCACCTGGCAACTAGGGCAACCCTCTGTGTTCAGTAATTTGTTTTATACAAAGGGAAAAAAAACGTCTCCTGCACCTGGGTTCCACCCTTCTGTCACTTCCTGTGACAGGTTTTGCATCTTGGAGCCAGGCGCCTGGCCAATTAGGCTCCTTCCTCCCACTGAACACTAGGGGCGCTGTTTTCCTTGGAATTTACATCCCAAAGAGGCGGTGCCCAGGTCCTTCAGGAAAACATTCCCGGGTCATACAGCTGGCAAAAGGCTTATTTCGCTTTAAAAAGGATTTACACATATTTCAAAGAGTCAAAGAAAGAACTTACAAATTTTCTAAAGTAAATGCTCTAAGAAAAGGGAAGGGGGACGTTTCTTATTTTTAACAGGGAGATGGAAGCCTCTTATTTTCTGTTTGTCTGCCTCCATCTTGCTCCTGCCAACCCGGAGTGCTCGATCCTCAAAACGACATTTGACCAGGCACCTCCCTTCTCCCAGGGGCCCACAGAAACGCCAGAGTCCCTGAGTGCCTGTAAGAGGATGGCACCCAGCCTCCTCTGTCTTCACTCCCCACTTCCTCCTTCTGTGTGTCCACCGGGCCAGCTCAGTCTGGTCCTCCCGTTCCCTTCACCTGTCCTGCCTCTCTGTGCCGGGCAGTGGCCTGAGAATGCTCCCCACCTGGGGGAGTCCCCTCCCCACCTCTCTCTGCTGTAATCCCCCATTCCTCCTACGATCTCTTCAGCCTGGAGCTCCCTCCCCCTCCTCCGGGTGCCCAAAGGATGCATTTGCTCCTGTTTTGGGGTCTTGTTGCTCACCTATTACCGTATCTCCTGTGTCAGAACGCACACTCTCTAGTGTGGGAGTCAGATCCATATTTGAATCCTGACTCTGCTACCTCCCATCCCACCTGTGAGGCCCAGATAAGCTCCTTCACCTTGCAGAGCCTCCATTGGACCATCTGTATAATGGTCATGTTAACGCCTACCTCATAGGGTCACCGGGAGAATTGGACTGGGTAAGGCAAGAGAGGCCCCCGCCCCTGGTGCAGACGGCACCCAGGGCAGCATAAATTTCCCATCCTCTTCCCCTAGCAAACTCTAGGTCCTTGAAAAGCATGTGCTGTACTCAGAGAGGAGGTGTGGAACTTTATTCATTATGTGGTGAAAAGATGAGCTTGATTGACTACTGGGCGTCTCCAACATCTGATGGCCTTACCTGGAGATCTTACTTTTCCTCTCTGTGTTCATCACTAGGCATTTCATCTCATGTGATTTTTCTGCAACTTTTTCTTGCTTCGCGTGAGTTCTGGCATGCTGACTTGTAAAATGAGAGGCTTTCATTCATATTGTATGATGCTTGTGCAGATGAAACCCAAGTCACCCACTCATGAATAATCCACCTGTTCTTGCCCTTCTCAAAGGATATTCTCCTGAACAATCTGAAGTCACAACCACCACCTTGAAATCTCCAGGAAGTCAATGTTGCAAACTCACTTAATTTTATTATTAAGTCTTGCCCCATGAAATATTTGCGAGATGGAGCCAACAGCTAAGGGACGGACTGAGAAGAGTTTCAGCTATGTCATCAGAGCCCCCAGCAGTGAGGGGTTCGACATAATGAACGTTGATGTGAAGATTGACACATCCTGGATATTCCAGGACATGGAAGATAGTGCTGAGGAGCAGGCAGGTCTTCAGGAAGAAGCAGCTGGTCACCCAGACGTGGATACGGGGGCCCTCAGGAGGCAGCTGCAGTCCTCCCAGCAGAAGCTGTCAGCAGTGGTGGACAAGTACGTGACATCAGAGTCCGGGCTGAGAAGCAGGTAGCGATGCCGTTTTGATCTCTCTGTGTGTATTTCACAAACCCCAGGGCCATCAGAGTGTGTCACCATGGTGTGTTGAATCACACCACGCAGTTGGGGAAACCGCCTCTCCACAGGCACGTAACCTGCCCACGAAGTCACTTGCCTTCTGCTTCTCCCGCCCTCCTTCTTCGGCTCTGTACCTGCAGGCGAGGCTGCCTGGGCTCCCCTGCTCAAAAGCTTCCATGGAGGTGCAGCCAACGGGAGGCCCTGAAATGGAGGGAGGCGGGGAGAAGCCAGGTCCTTTCCCTCTCTTCTGCTCTGGGTGACTGTTCCATGAAAGGGCCATATGTACAAAGTGACCCAGAAGGACAGAAGGAACGGAGAAACCAAAGCAAGAGGCAGACAAATCCAGTTTGTTGGTTTGGGGTGATTTTTTTCGGGGAACTGGCAGACAGAAGCATGATTTTAGGCAGCTGCCAGACAAATAGATGTCCATGCAGCAAACCTTCCACCCCCAACCCAGGGCTTATATCCTGGGGAAAAAGCGTATGTGCTCTGGAAGGCTTGCATAGGTGGCTACAGGAATCACAGCCTGTGGTTTCTGCAACAACAGGGGTTGTTTTGGAGGAAACTCACAATAAATAGGTGTTTCTACGTAAAGAGAACTACATCAAGTCCACATCTTGGAGGCATTCGTGGACTCAGGGTTAGTCAAGAGTCACGTGCTGGATTAGCATTTAAAATAAAGTCGCTCTTGTTCCCACAGTGACATCTCCCACTGTGGCTGTAACTCAGACGTGCTCTAGGCTTCCTCTGTGGTCCCAGCTCCCACTAGGTGGCCTGGCTGCTCCGCCCTGCCCTGGTAACAGCATCTCTTCCTTGTGTGACCGTCCATCCTCCAGGGCAGAGGTGGCTTCCGGCAGTTGCTAATCCAGGCTGCTTGTCATCTCTGTCTGGCCTTTGGACTCTGCTGTCATCTTTGAAATAGGTTCTCTGCATTCATTTCTCTCTGTAGAACTTCCTGGTGTGGGCTCTGTTTGCCTGATGGAGTTGACCTGGTCTCAAGGTGGAGCATTTGAATCCAGGTCTTTCTCTAAAGCACATCCTGTTTCCTGATGATGTCTTAACACCCAGACTGGCAGAACGAGGTTAGGCCTTGCATGTAGATCAGAGACACCCAGCATGGAAGCACAGTGCAGTGGTGGCGGGGATCGATTCTGACAGGCTACTCATATCCCAGCAGCCACGTGCCTTGGATTTTTGTAGGACTTCCCCATTTTCTTGTACTTGCCTTTGTTTCAGTAAAGGCAGGCCATTGAATGTGGATGCACATGTGATTCACTTTTCTTCCCTTTAATGAAATTTTATGCATGAAGAAATTCACAAATCAGAGAAATTCTTCCGTTACTCTATGTGATTGCCCATTCTTTCATTCATTCAGCAACGCACTTACCCTCCAAGAGTCATACACTAAGTTATGTTAGTTTGCCTGGGTTGCCATGACAAAGCACAGTAAGGCCTCGCTGAATTTTGTCCATAGGTTCTTGGAAACTGTGACTAAGTGAACCAACATACAACAAAACCAATTTGTTTTTGTTTATTATTTTGCCTTGGTTTGAGATAGAATCTTACTCTGTTACCCAGGTTGGAATGCAATGGCATAATCTTGGCTCACTACAACCTCCACCTCCTGGGTTTAAGTGATTCTCCTGCCTCAGCCTCCCGAGTAGCTGGGACTACAGGGGCCCATCACCATGCCAGGCTAATTTTTGTATTTTTAGTAGAGACAGGGTTTCACCATGTTGCCCAGGCTGATCTCGAACTCCTGACCTCAAGGGATCTGCCCGCCTTGGCCTCCCAAAGTGTTGGGATTATAGACGTGAGCCACCACGCCCCGCCACAAAAGTAATTTGACCATAGACTAATTGATACAAGTAAGAGTTAAGTTCCTACAGCATATTTCAGGTCACAACAACATCACCAAACTTTCAAATAAAGACCCCAACCACTTCTAATGTTAAACATTGAAATAGATGTGAAAGATTCAAACAAATTTAAATTTAAGAAAGACTCAAAAAAAACCACAAGTAAGATGATTATTTACCGAGTTGTTCCAGTTCAGGGCCACAGGTGGCTGGGGCCTCTCCCGGCAGCTCAGGGTGCAAGGCCTGGACAGGACACTCACACCCATGCGCACACTCACGCAGGCTGGGACTGTGTCGACAGGCCAGCTCACCTAATGTGCAGTTTTGGGCTGTGGGAAGAAACCAGGGTACCCTGAGAAAGCCCACACAGACATGGGGAGAATGGGCCAACTCCACATAGACAGTGGCCCTGGCTGAGAATCTTTTTTTTTCCTCATCAGCATTATAATGAAATGACATTATTTGCAGACCTGGGTGACTTAACAAAAATTTATTTTCTCACATTTCTGGAGCCCAAAAGCCCAAGCTCGAGGGGTCGGCAGGGTTGGTTTCTCCTGAGGCCTCACTCCGTGGCTTGTGGACTCCACCTTCTCCCTGTGTTGTCATATGGGCACCCCTCTGTGTGTGTCTGTGTCCTCATCTCCTCCTCCTACAAGGACCCCAGTCGGGTTGAATCTGGGCCCATGCTCATGACTTTCTTTCAACTTAATTGCCTCTTTGAAAAAGGCTTATCTCCAAATATAATCACATTCTAAGGAACTTGGGGGTTAGGCCTTCAACACAGGAACTCTGCAGGGATGCACTGAGCCCATATCAGAAGTCCTGGGTGCTGAGAGCTGGGAAAGGCAGGGCCCTGGCCCAAGAGACTAGCAGCGTAGGCCCATACAGGGTTGTACATTCAAATCTTCTAGAAAGGTTGGTGGTGGAAACCACAAGATCAATGGACCCCAGGAAGACAGGCAGGGAACCTCAGCCAAAGGAGACCCCTCCATGGGAGGGGGAGACAGAGTGCCCAGGGGGACACCGTGAGCCGTGGGGAGGAGGAGCCTCTGACCGGGCCTGTGGGGGAATGAGGGCTCATCCTCTGTTCTCTTTAAAGATGAGGTACACCATCTTGCAGGAGAGGGCCAGGGGAGGAGAAAAGGGAGCTAGCACAGGGCTAAGCCCTCCCATACTTGCCCCATCTTGGCTCTCTTGGACCCTGCGATGCATAGAGTGACATCAGCGCCTTTAACAGATGAGTAAACTGAGGCTGAGGGATGAAATACTAAGTGATTCAGGGCTGCCGAAAGCTGAGGCCAGGGTCTGAAAGCACGATTCTGAGCATGGATTTCAGACGAATGTCACAATGTGTTTGGGTTTAGCGGGGGAAGGCCAGGTAGTATGTCTTGGATTCTCTTTAAATAAAGAGTTGAAGCACAGAAGTATTTCCTCTCAAAATAATATAACAGCTTTGTTAGAAATGTGAAGAAATCCCACTCCCATCTTCATAACACTATCATGTTGCATATTTATTCCTCGTCTACATGCAGTAAAATTAATAACAGCTAAGCACTTACCGAGTACTTGTTCAGTACCAAGCCACTGTTCACAGGCTTGACAAGTATTAACATAATTAATCCTTAAAATGATACTAGGCCAGCACGGTGCCTGTAATCCCAGCACTTTGGGAGGCCGAGGCGGGCAGATCACCTGAGGTCGGGAGTTCAAGACCAGCCTGACCAACATGGAGAAATCCTGTCTCTACTAAAAATACCAAATTAGCTGGGTGTGGTGGTGCATGCCTGTAATCCCAGCTACTCAGGAGGCTGAGGCAGGAGAATCACCTGAACCTGGGAAGTGGAGGTTGCGGTGAGCCAAGATCGTGCCATTATACTCTAGCCTGGGCAACAAGAGCGAAACTCCATCTCAAAAAAACAAAACAAACAAACAAAAAACCCTAACAACACAGTAAAAGTATCATCCACATTTGTCATTGGTTTAATCGGGGAACAGTGATACTTCACTGTCAATGTCATATTTGTGAGTGTATTAGCTTCCCACAGTTGCTGTAACACGTCACCACAAGCTTGGTGGCCAGAAGTGGGAATCGGTCTTCCTGAGCTAGTCGAGCTGTGGGTGGAACCAAGCCCTCTCCGAGGCTGGAGGGGAAATCCATTTCCTGGTCTTCTCCAGGTCTAGAGCTGCATTCCTGGGCTCCCAGCCCTGCCTCCGTCTTTGGAGCCAGCTGCATGCAATTCTGCACTGGTGGCCACACTGCCATCCCTAGACTCAACCCTCTCTGTCTCCCTCTCTCAAGGATACTTGTGATTGGTCTTAGAGACCAGCCGGTGAATCCGAGTCCGTATCCCCATCTCACCATCCTTGACTTAATCCTATCTGCAGTCTCTCTTGCATTTTAAGGTAACATTCATAGGTTCCAGGGATTAGGGCCTGGATAAACTTGGGGCCAAAATTTGCCCTGCCGAAGTGAAATTCGTCATTTTCTGCTGCGTTTAAGATTAGGAATTGTATCAGAATTAAATACTGTTCTCATAGTTATTGTTACAGACTGGTCTCAGAACTAGAAAGAAAGGCTTTTGTTTTTCCTAGCAAATCTCCCCATATCGTATAACGCATCGGAAAGCACTCAGCCTGACTGGCTAACTGGAGCTGCTCCTGTGGTCCAGTTTGGAAGGAGCTTGATTATGATCCTCACGAGAAAGCACGCTCTGGTCTGCCACCCTTGAGACCTTTCCTCAGGGCATGAGAACTGGAATAGGAGAGGGACTCTTGGCCTTATCATTAATAATAATGCATCATGTAATTTAATCTTCATGAAAACCTACTGAACAAGGTTAATGACCTCTATAGATAAAGTTACGGAGGGTCATAGTGCTGAACTAGCCCTGCTAAGGCCCCATGGCTGGTGAATGGCAGAGCCGGCAGGCAAAGCTAGTTCTTCACCCAGGCCAGCAGTATCTGTCCTGGATGTGCAGGTGTCCAGCGAGGACTTGGGGAGGAGTGAGGATATGCAGAGCTTAGGCACGGAGGCTATGAATGCACCTTCACGTGTATCATGGTTTCTATTATAGAGGCAAGATTGACACATTAAGGGGACTTGGAAACTAGGCACAATGGGAGACAGGCCAGTCTTCTCAGTGCCTTTCACCCTATGGGTCCTTCTGGACTTTCCGCCCCCACCCTGCTTGTGTCTCCCTCCCACAGAGCTGCAATCAGGGTTCACATCCAGTCTGAGTTCACGTCTGCTTGTGACATATCTCCAGTGTGTTTGCAAGACCATGCAAAGCCTTCCTGTGACTTAGCCATTCCTAATAGACAGTTAAGCCACTTCCAGCTTCTCATCTGGAAGAGTAAGTAATGCAGAGATTAATTTTTTTCAGTTGTAGAAATCTTTTTCTGAATTTCAATCATTCCTTAGGTTTATAAGAACGTAGCTAAAATGGGAGACAGCAGAGCAGAGGCTGACCATGCTAAGTCCGGAAGTAAGACCAACTAGATTCTATAATGCTGTGTGACTTTGGGCAAAAGTCTGCCCCCTCTGATCCTATTTCCTCCTGTGTGAAGTAGGGGTAGCAGAACCCACCTGCAGCTGGTAATGTGAGGATTCATTGAAACCACCAAGTTAAAGCTCTTAGCCTAAATGGCTCAAGCTCAGGCACTCTTAGTTGGCATTACCTGAATCTGCAATTATTGGCTTTGGTGTGAGGACATTGAAGATTTCTGATGCATGGTACCTAATTGTTCAAATAACGTCTTTGAAGTATTGTAGATAATCTTTAGAACTATATGCATGAATATTATGCAAAACATAATTTTGCCAGAACATCGAATTGATCAAATGACAAAAACAATAATAATCATTTGGCCCCGGGGTCTGCAAAAGCCTTAGGCCATGTTGACTGCACCTGAGCAAGTGCCTCCCTGCTTTTCATGCTGCAGAATTCAGGAGCTGGAGCTGTCAGAGAGGAAACTCCTCCGGAAGGTGGACCAGCTGAGCACCCACATGGCTCAGGAGAGGAGCGCCTGGCTGCAGGCCCAGGAGAAGCTGGCAGCGCTGCAAGGGGAGCTGGCCAGCCAGGTACGTTTCCTTCTCCTTTCCAGTGCCTGTTTCCCGGACTGCAGAGCTGCTGGAACTCAGTAGCAGCTGCAGGTGGACAAAGACAGTATAGGGCGGGCCCGGGAGAGCCCAGTCAGGAGGGTTAGAGAGATCCCAAGTTCATGGTGCATGGTAGTGACTGCAGGGCCTGGGGCGTGCAGGGATGTGGGGGTGGGGGCTGCACACTTGCTGGAAGCTCTTGTGCCTGAGGACCTCAGCTCCAGGCCACAGTCTGAGGACAAGAGTTGGCTGAGGCAGGGCTCCTGGGGTCTGGAGCTCTTATGCAGATGGGGGAGACTGATAAAAAACAAATAACTCTAAACCTGGATGTGGGGTGACATGGGGGAGTGTGGGAACCCCCCCCGGTGTGTGTTCAGGGGGCTGGGGGAGTTGAGGAGAGCTACAGAGAGCTGAGGCTGTGTGAGTTGGGCCTTGTTGGGAAGGGCGTGTGAGGCGTGAGTGACAGCATGGGCCATAGCACAGAGGTGTGGGAGAACACAGAGGATATCACCGTGCTGGGGATGGAGTGGGTGAGTCGGAAAGTTCCAGAGGGGCCAGATGGCCACCTCCGCTGCATGGCCCAATTCTGAATACAATGAGGAACAAGCTTTAGGGGACTTAAGTAGGGAAGCCTCGGGGTCAGATGGTCATTTGGGGAATGCCATTCTCCCTGCATGGCAGAGAGAGATGGCGGAGGCAGGGGGGGAAGTTGGGGAGCTCCCTGGAGAACGAGTGAGCAGTTAAGGGTTGGGGGCTCTGGAGGCAGAGGCCTGGAGCCAAACCCTGGCTCTGCCACTCACTAGCTGTGTGACCTTGGGCAAGTGGCTTAACCTCTCTGGGCCTCAGTTTCTTCATCTGTGAAGTGGGAATGATATAGTACCAACCCCCTCAGATTGTTGTGTGGGTTGAATTGATACATGTAAAACACTCCCAACAGTAGGTATTTAAATGACACTATCTGCTTTTATAATTATTATCCATTACTGAAATTTTCCAGGGGAAGGATGATGGGGCTGGAGGGTAGGCCATTTTTAGGAAAGGCTGCAGAGGCAAAAACCACAAAACTCCAAGGTAGCCGCATGCGGCGCCCAACAGTCCCTGGAGGCATCCTGTTCTAGCCTGCTGCTATTTATAATGTAGCCAGGGATTTTCAAATTGCAGGTTGCAACCCATCTGTGGGAGGTGAGATCAATTCAATTCAGGGGCTCACAACTGACACTTAAAAATCAAATCAATAGAAACTAAGAAATGTAAAAGCACATCGCATGTGCTAGAGGGAGTACTGTTTTGAGAAACTTGTTTTGGCTGTACACAGGTGTGTATAATGTGCATGATGTTCATAGGTGTTTCATACATGTTTCTTACAGTGGGAAACTGTCAAAAAGCTGCAAAAGCACTTGGCATAGCTATTAGCGGAAATAGAATTGGACGTGGAAATAGAATTGGACGTGGAAATACAAGGATTCCAATTAAATTGAAAATAGTCCTTGAGATGCCAGAGAGATACCCTAGTGGAATTTTTTTTTTCTTGTTATACTGAACTTCAGGTGCAGAAAATCGAGTTGCTTCTCCTCCTTGGCTCATAGTACCTCCTCATTACCATCCTGAGGGGAGTTTTAACACAGGTAGAGTGGTGTTGAGTGGGACTCCTCCGCCACTGATGTGATGTCTCGTGGAAAATGCTGTCATAAATACTTTTTGAGCTGTGCCCTATGTGCCTATAGAATTTCCGAGGTGAATTGGACCCAGCCCTGTAATGATGTTCACAGTGTGATGAGGGGCAAAAGATGAGGGTGACAGCAAGTGACACTGTTAGGGAGTGAAAAGTACTGCAGGGACCAGCAGTTTCTACAAGGGAACACTAAACCCTCTTCTACATGCGTCGTCTTATTAAATCTGTCTCATGTGCTGTGTATGCTCCTGGGAAAGACTCATCACAAAACTCCATTTCCAGATGGGCGGCAGATGTTCAAAGTGATAGCAGAATTGCTTAGGATCTCTCAGTTGCCCCTTGGCTCAGCTGCCACCCAGCCCCCAACCCTCTAACCCTAAATCTCTCGCTGCAAACATTTGTATTTTGAAGCGAGTTTTGCAGGAGTGCATGAGCAAGTTTTCCATGCCCTTCTCACCGGTATGTACCAGATAGCAGTTCTGCTTTGTTGCTGTCAGTGTTTCCAGTAAGCATTTGCATATGGAGATGCCTTGTTTCTGTAGTGAGCTGCGGTCATTCTGAAAGCTGTCAAAGGCAGACCATCCAGGCTCTGAAGTCCCTCCGCCGGGCACCATGCAAAGATCATTACAGAATACATGCCTTCAGGAAGACCGGGAGAATTCTCCTCCCAGGGAATCTGACCCCAACTTTTATCTGCCCCCACGTTCCCCAAAACTATCAAACAAAGCTTGTCTGAGCTGTTCCCAGGTTTCCTCTTGCACGTTTGCTCTTAGCTTGTTTGTTTTTGTTTTCCGGAAGATCCCTGGCAGAAGAGCAGCAGCAAGTGCTGGCAATTGAAAGATTAACATAGAGGCAGTTCTATCCCTTTGCTTGAGTTAATTCTGAAAAGTAGGCAACAGCTCTAATTTTCGCCGTGGGTGGTTCACCCCAGTCCAGCTCACGGCCCATGGGTGGGAAGAGGCAGATATGTTCCCTGGCCAGGCAGGTGGGCAGATGAAAGAAGAAAAGGCCTGAGTCAGGTACAGGGCGCTTGGCATCCTGGCCTCAGTGAATTTTAGCTGCATGATATGCAAGTCACTTCTGAGTATCCCTCAGGCTAGTAACATACCTCCCTTCAGGTGGAGTGTCCACAGTAATGACAGCTACTGTGGTACTGGTGTCCTGACTCACCTGCTGGAGCCAGCTGACCCTGGGTGGGCCAAGCATTGACCCTGTAGATAGGAAATGGGGATCTCTGGGCAGTTCTGGGATGGAAGTGGGGAAACCCGGGAGGCTCTGGAGCAGCTGTGTGCACTCAGGTGCGGATGTATTCAGTATCCGGACATCTCCAGCGGCCCTCAGGGTGTGCACTCGCTGATGGCCATCCTGCCACCTGCCCAGCTCCCTCTCAGGACTCAGGGAGCTCTTGAGGGTGCCGGGCCCAGACTAGGGTGGATGAGGTGAGGGAGACACTTGCCTCCGTGCAAAATTTAAAATGATGCAAAACAGTCAAAGAGATAATATTTTGATGCACTATTATAATGCACAAAATGCAAAAACGCACCATGCACAAAATACGGAAATGTTAAGTCAAGACAGAATCAATGTGAGTCATGGCGCGTCCTTCAGGCTTGCTGACGCCCTCATCCACCGCCAACTTGTAGATCCGGGAGAAGGAGAGCGTGGCCAGGCGGCAGCAGTGGCGGCTGCGGCGGTTGCAGGAGCGGTTGCGGCGCAAGGACGAGGCACTGGGGCAGCAGGCGGCGGCCCTGGAGCGCTGCCGGCGGACCCAGCGGCGCCAGCTGGGCCTGGTGCGCGAGCAGGAATGCGTCCTGCGGGCACAGGTGCAGCGGCTGGAGCTCGACGTGCGACGCCTCTGCCACGCCGCGGGCCTCCTGCTGGCCCAGCGGGACATCGCGGCCTCGGGCCTCCAGAGCGCCCCCGAGGCGACCGCGGAACTGCGCGCCCTGCAGGCGAGGGCAGAGCGCAGTGAGCGCGAGCGAGAGGAGGCGGCGCGCAGGCTGCAGCAGCACAGGGCCACAGAGCGCCAGCTCCGCGGGCAGCTGGAGGAGCTGCGCTGCTTCATCTATGGGCTGAAACTGTCAGAGATCGGCCTGCAGTGCCAGGTGGAGGACCTCGCCCAGCAGAACCAGTGCCTGCGAGAGGAGCTGGGAGCCCAGGCCCCTGCTGGTCACTGCAGCCTGGTAAGTGGCAGCAACCCAGGGCAGGAGTGATCTTTTGCCTTTTTCTTTCTCCTCCAGCCACTTGGTCAAGTCTTGGACCCATTCATTTCCCGGGCTCCTCTTCATACACCCGTCCAACCCTGCCAGCCCTGTCCATCGTCCGTCACTGCATCTACTCACCTCCCCACCCCCTCTTCCATCTAACCTCACACACTCATTCAGTGCATGCCCGCCTCACTACCCATCCACCAACCGTGTCCACCCACCTGTCCATCCTCAGATGCACACACTTGCCCATCATCCATCCATCCACCTATCCAACCACTCACCCACCTACCCACCATCATTTTCCCATTCATTCTAACAGCTGCTTGTCCACACAGCCACTTATGAGCGCACTTACTAAACCACTTGTTTTCCCATTGTTGAAATCTGTTTGGGCTTTTATTAAAAAAAAAAAAAAAAATTATCATAGATGGTGGCTTGTAAACAACAGAAACTTATTTTTCACACTTTTGGAGGCTGGAGGTCCAAGATCAAGGCACCAGCAGATTTGGTGTGGGGGAAGGGCCTTCTCACTGGGTCCTCATGGGGCAGGAGGGAGAGGGAAACTTCTGGGGTACTAATACCATCCATGAAGCCTCCACCCTCACAGCCTAATTACCTCCCAAAGACCCCACCACCTGACACCCTCACACTGAGGATTAGGATTTCATCATAAATTTGGTGGGGGGAACACAGCCATTCAGACCCTAGCACTCACCCTCCCACTTGTCTAGCCATATTCCACTATCTTCTCATTCACCACACCATCTGTTCATCTATCTACCCCTCTGGCCACTGGCCAGGCAGCTAACCAGCCACCTTATATCCCTTATTGTCCACTCACTGTTGTCCATCCATCTGTCCAACATCCAATGAGTTCCTGCTGACTGCCAGGCCCCGCGCTAGACAAGATCTTCAACACGCTATGCCACAGGACTCGTATGTGCTTGTGAAGTCTGGTCCCCCTCCTCTGGAAGCAGTCACCTCTTCTCCCACTTCACCTGTAGCACCAAAGGTGACAACGGTTCCCTGGTGGCAATTCTGTGCGTGCATCTTCAGTTCTCCCTCTTTAGACTGTGAGCTCCTTGAGGGCAAGGTCCAGA